TCTCTCACTACTCATTCTCTCTCTCCCCTCCTTTGTATCTTCACTCTCTTTCCATCCATCATCTTCCTTCTCTCCTCATTTTCCATCGGCAACCACCATTTCAAAATTTGTAATTAAATTTTCTCTCACTACTCATTCTCTCTCTCTCTCTCTCTCTCTCTCTCTCCATCCATCATCTTCCTTCTCTCCTCATTTTTCACCGGCAGCCAACGTGGAGTAGCGTTGTCGGGATCAAGTTGTCGCAATCACAACCGTGACAATTTGGCCACAAGCGGGTGAGTTCGCTACAAACCTACCACCACTTGTCTGCCATCGTCGCCGAAGACATACCATCATCTGTTTTGGCCTTTCTCTTCATGGATTTTCTCATTTTTCATTATAGAGATGGTGATGGTGGTTGTTATTGAGGATGCAGCGATGGTTTGGAAGCTGTGGTGGTGATGTAGGTTGTGGTGGTTGATAGCGGCAGAAAAAAATTTAGTTCAGAACAACAAAAATCAATTATTTTCTGTCATTCTACGCAGTAGATTTGATTTTTGAATTGTTGGATTTTGTTGGTGGTTTTTTTTTTTCCATTTGCTGTAGTGTGTGCAGATCGTTCGGGGTGACCATTTGTGATCAAATATGTGCTTATTGTGACTAGTTGTGACCGATTATGACTGTTTGTGTCCGATTGTGATCGGTTAATTGTAACTCGTTGTGACTGATTGTTAATTGTGACTCGTTGTGACCGATTGTGACTTGAAATTTTGAAAGTTGGGAGTGGGTGGATGGGGTTGGTAGATTGATTAGAGCATGTGTTGAAGTGATCATTGGAGAAGTTTGCCAGAGGGATCGTCGAATAACTGCCGAAGCGGGTGTCGTGGTGATCGTCAGAATAGTCGACAGATTGGCGGCCGGAGTGATCGACGGAAAGTCACCAGAGCTGCCACTGGGGTGATCGTCGAAACAGTTACCGGAGTAGCCGTCGGAGCCGATGGCCGTCTCCGGTGGAGAGGTGGAGGGAAGATGGTGTAGTGGGGTGATAGGATGAGGTGTGTGAGGTAGCATGAGTGAAAATAATTAATATATATTATATTATATTTCAATATTTAATAAATTTATTTACCACATGATTTTTGAAATATTTTAATGAGTTTGTTATTTATGAAATGTAATCTTCAAAAGTAGGAGTTATGTATTGTTCCCTTTTTAATATTCTCA